GCATGCATATATTTTTTATTTTCTGATTTCGTAGTAACACAAATTATCTTTTCTGTTGAATTCAATACTTGAGCAAGACTTGAATAATTCACTGAAATACAGCAGCTACATTTAAATACATAGGCATGGCAAAGATTCATAAAAAACAGGGAAATTAAGCCAGCTGTTCATCTTGACATATCATACCCATCCTGTTTCCAAAAGCAAACAATCACATTTGAAGACTTTAGCTGTTATCCTTAACTGAGGGTAAAGGATCTGGTTTATTCCTTTGTCTATCAATCAGGATCTCCACAGGCACACTTGGACCTTGCAATTTGTGTTCTCTGGAGTCAAGGGCTCATAGTAATCAATGAACTGAAACCTTCCTTAAAAACCACTATTTCTGTAGAACACAAGAAAGTCGGAGCAAAGGTATCTTGAAAACACATATACATACCTAGAAGATATTTATTCATGGAAACCATCTAAATTTCATTTCCTTTTGACTTTTTATGTAACATCTTCTAAATGTGGTTTATTGTTGGATTTGCAGCCCTAACTTGGACTGTAAAGTAATTTAGTTACTTTATATAAAATAAGGGCATTTTTTTTAACTTCTTGGCTTTGCATCTCCCTGATCTGGTCAAACAGTATCAGAAGTAAGACACAAAAGTCTTTGATATTGTCAGATGCCAACATATTTTGCCATGATGTACAGCACTTTTGAGAGTCACCATTTCTTATCAGTGTTCTTACTTCAGATCCATGATTTTAATTACATTATTAATTACAACAAAAATATAGTAAACTACAGCAATATCATCCTAAAGAAATCCTTCAAGCTAGGCTTAAAATAAATTTCCTTTTTTTGATTATGATGGAATTTATCAGGAGTTCAGAAAGCCTTTACCTATTTTATTTTAAATCTGATTGGAATAAGACTTAATCTTTCAAAACTTATGCCAGAAACATATGTCTGTTATGGTTTCATATATGTTTTAGAAAGGCAAAAGATCAGAACTATAATGAAATTTCAAATGTAACAACTATGGAATTATTTCTAAGGTTTCATGGTACTTACTAAGCTTAAGCAAAGGCAAATGTATGCATCTCCACAACTGGAATTTCCTGCCTTATCATCAACAGCCTTAAAATAAGCATTCTGTATCATTTCCTGTGCATATTAATGATTTCTATAAAATTGCTCTTCTTCATTATACATGTTCATTTTTTGCTGCTTTAGAGACACTTCAAGAGCCGTGGGGAGAAGAAAAGTGCTTGTCCCTTTCATTAGCAGTCTACATTAAACTTAATTCCCCTGACTCATCTACTTACTTCTCTTTTAGGCAATCAGTCCTTTGCTGTCAAAGCCAACACACTGCTGGTCAATGGCAAATACTCCAAGGTTCATTAGAGGGATCCAGCTGATTAACTTGGGAGACTTTGCAAGGAAGAAAAATGCCCTTTAATTCTTTTCAAGATAGATCACCTTTAACAGAAATATTGTATTTCAGAATCTGAAATCTGTATTAATACAAAATTCAGAGTTTTAGGCTTTCCATGTGATTTCCTAAAAGGGTAAGAATACACCTGAGTATTTCACTGTCTGTAGCATCGTAATCATTTGAATCCTATCTCTCCCATCCCAGTATGAAAAGACTTCACAAATGAATGACAAGCAGATGGCATATCATTTTCTCAACTGAAGACTCTTGGATTCAATTTGCCACTCATTGAATGCTGGCAGGAAAGCATTTTTGTACCCCAGTGAATAGTCTGCATAGTTTCTATATTCTCTGACAGTATTTGACTAACAGCTACTGGTAAACATAATAAAGGCTTATATCAAGCAGATTTTTTTTTGTTTATTGTTGTTGTTATAAATATCACTGCAGTCATCAATGTCATCACTTCTTTTATTTTGCTCTCATGTATTTTGATGCATAGCTCCGGTTTGCCTGCAGTATCACTGTTGGCTACTTCCAGGTAGTCCCCTCTCCTGGCTGTCCTTATCCTCACAGCCTGTGGTTAAGGTCCATTGAGTCCAACATTTTTTCCCACTTTTTTCACCATTCAGCAGAAGTTTGGCTTACCAATTATGCTATTTCCATGATAGCTGGTGTACTCATGACACCCATGTGTAATGCAGAGTGGACATTAGTGGGGTGTTTTGGAGGCAAACCAATGGTCCACAGAGATGACGCTCTAACATATGGTGCCTTCTGTAAGTTCTCAGCTACTACCTAAAGCAAGTGGTACAGATATCTCCAATTTGACACCACTGTTTTTATTTCAAACACCTTTCTTAACTCTATTTTCCCTTTCATTATGCTTTTATGCACAACCTGTTGCAACATTATCAACTGACTTTGGTTTGACAATCACATTTTCCTGAGTTATGCAAGTAACCAACAGAGATGCTACCATGATCCAATGTGACATATGGGCCAGTGCCTTCCATTCTCAATGCAGAGCTACCTATCTTATCAGCAGCTGAAATGATGTTAGTAAAATAACTAATGTACAGTGAGATTTATCAGAAACTTTTTTTCATATGCTAAGAAATCTAAAAACCACTGCTCCTACTTGAGGTAGCAGAAACACTAACTCATAGCCTGTGCACAGTGGAACTATTGTCCATCAATATCACATACTTTATGTCATTCCAAGCCTCCTAGGATGTAAAAAATTAACAAACTTTTGTAACTTCTCAAGTAACAGCTTGTTGGGTTTTGAGGTTGGGGTCATGAGAATTATCCTTTTTCCAGATTGTTCTACTATTTCAAACTTATCAAACAGATTAGTAGGTTCATTGTTGCAAGTGCTCTACTCTCAGCAAAAACTTTCTAAATCCTTGAAAAAGTATTAATCACTTATCCAGGCTTTTCTGCTATTGGAGCAGATGTCTAAAGCATGAAATTCATGTAGGGAGCCCTTAGAAGTTTTGTATTGTTTCTACTGCCTAAGGGGTAGATATTAAAATTTTCTTAATATTGAGCCAACTCAGTTCTTATCACAGTTACACAAAACCACTGCATAATTCAATAGACAAAATGTCTGAATCTAATCCCATAAAAAGAGAAATTATGACATGTTTTAAAAATCTAAACTTAATAGATAGCCAAATGGCTACAAACCACATCAGGCTGAATGAATCAGATACCATCTGTGATGAAAGGCATGTTGAATAATACAGTCTAGATACAAAGCATATTGAACAGAACAAAACATACCATACAACAGATTTATAGTCTATAATCCACCCAGAAATTCTGTTAATTCAGCTCTGTCACGTAACACTGCTTTCATCTACTGTTCAGGAGCACTGCACCACTTTGACTCATTTAGCAGATCAGTTACATGCTACTCCTGATTTCATGCAGTGATGATTAAGGATGAAAAACATCACAGACAGCTGGCAACTGCAATAAATAAAAAAGCTTTGCTCAATTTCGCTTTATGTGTTTGCACCACAATTAAAAAAAAAAAAAAAAAAAAAAAGAAAAAGATTGAATTCATCATGTACAGTAATCTGCTATGACAACTTTGGATCTTCAGGTTTCATAAGCGTTCTAAGACAGGACAGTAAATTAAGCTTTAATAGACTGTTATGAATTCATTATTGGGGGATGTTGCATACACATTAAGATTAGTTTCTATTGAGACTTTTTTTTTTAGTCGAAAATTGTCCAAAGCTGTAAGCGAAGTAATGGTGTGATGAACTGCATTGATCAAACAAGATTTGGCACAATTGCCTAAGATGCTTAAGGTACTTTTATATATGCTGTTCCGGCCTGTGCACCAGAGACTCATCAAATATAGTAAACATCTACTGGTTTAAGGATTATGGACTCTATTTTCTAAATTTATAGTGCTTGGATACCAATTTTAGTCACCAAGACCTGACTTGAAGCTTAAATGGAAGCTTCAACTGCCCCTAAAAATGAATACATAAAGCCACCCTAATGAATTCTACCAGTATTATTGTATGCCTGATCATGACAAATAGCTCATGCTATACCATGTAACAGCAAGATCTTGAACAGTGAAGCCATATTAGCCACAATTTCATATTTTCACAGAATCATAGAATGGTTTGTGCTGGATGGGACCTTAAAGATCACCTAGTTCCAACCCCCCTACTATGGGCAGGGACACATTCCATTAGACCAGGTTGCTTAAAGCCCAGCCTGGCCTTGAACACTTCCATGGATGGGGCAGCTACAACTTCTCTCAGCAATCTGTTCCCATGCTTCACCAGCCTCATAATGAAGAATTCTTTTCTTTGCCCACCATGTGTCATAAAACAGCAGAAAAGTAAAGGCTATTCTGAAGATTTGGAGCTGAATCTGTTGATTAGCTGTCCTCTTACGCCAGCAGAGGAGCTGAGTTGTACCTATATAGGATACAGGCTATATAGTCACTATATATGAATGTCAATGTCATTATAGTACCTTGAATTCACACCACTTCACACACATAAAAGGTCCTTCCTGGTTCAGGTAGCTTGTATTATACCTGTCCCAATAATAGCATGGAATAAAATACACATCACAGCATTTGTCTATTTTATCAGAAGTTTCTAGTAGAAAACAAACTGCAATATTTACAATACTTTTCAAATGTGGAACTTTGGAAACCTTTTTGCTGTTTAATCTGAACATTTCAGAGAGTATGAAATCAGAAGGCCTCTAAGGTCTCATGCCTGTGCAGTTTCATTTATTTAAAAATTAATCATAGACTGAAGGAAAGAGCAGTAGTCCATTCCCACAAGAACTGACTTAAATTCTGCTGCCTTAAATTCATTTTGTTGCTGCCTTTACTTTTAATAAAATACAGTGATTTAAGTGTGACTGATGGTAGTGGGAATTATTATTTTTATGTTATCAAATTAAAGGGCATTTGGGGAAAAAAAGCTTTTTTCTTGTATAGCTGTCATGTGTGAACTCTGTAACTAAAGTGTTTTAATGTATTTAATAAATATTTTCCCAAAGCCATTAATTGCAGATCCTGTAAACAATAAGTGTTAATGTAACATGAAATTTGCTTACTTGCAGGCTTTCTTCTTGTCCCACCTCTGTGCTCTTTTACAGCTTGTGAATTCACTGAATGAAAAAACATCCTTCAGCTTCTTTTGTGCATGGAGACTGAGTTCTGTCAGAAATCTTTCAGAGATCTCTTCTGTTAAAATGGAAAGCCATGCTACGTGTTGCTGTGTTTGAGTTAAATTGACATCATGTATTCACATCTCTCTCACTCAGAGGAGAATCAATGTGTAAACCTTCTTCCTAAACTTGCACTATAAAAATTGCGTTACGCAAAAAATATTTAACCAGATCTCATACATTTCAAAGGGTATAATTTTTTTTAATTTTTTTTTTAACCTAGAGAATATGAGCAGCAAACAATCCTGAAATTATATGAGCCTCACCAAGGAGAGATAAACCATAAGGATTTCAAATGGATGTGTCCTCTCCCAGTTCCTGAAGTTACAGAAACTTACTTAAACCTTTGCTTCTTTTAAAAAAAGAACTTTCTTCTTTTCATGACTGCAAGGAAAAGCTAGGAACTATGTACCAAGCTGCAAAGACATCTTCTTGATCCTTAAAAACCATGAAAGGTCTCAGAGTAACAGAAACATCAGTCAAGTTACTGCAGCTGACCTACCCCTAAGTTGCAGCTTGGAGAATTTCAGTGTAAAAGTGTAAGCAAAATTAAGGCTTCTTTCAGGAAACCACAGATGAATCATACTGTTATCCTAAAGAAGAATATGAAAGAAGGTCATGACAAACCCTGGGTCTTGATGCAGCTACAGAAGTAATTCAATCAGTTCCAGGCAGCAAAGAATCTGCCTCAAAATTGGAAAATACTTGTGTTGCTCACAAGAAACATTTTGTTTCATAATGCCATATATTGTTTAAAATACAAAATATCTTTCTGGTTTTCAAAGGAACACATTAAAATATTAATGTTTTTACAAATATGCATAGGTAAGCAAAAATGCTTGGAAACCAGAAAATGCTCATTTTCACACCCTTGAATGTCAGCATGCTGAGGTGGTTATTTTGCACTGCTGTCACTCATTGTCAAGCAGTCATTATTACTTCCCATGCAACCCCCAAAGCCAGTCTTTCTTTGCTATACCAGATCAAAAAATCTCTAAATACAACCTGGCAATACTTTCAAAGCACTTTCTTATGTTAATTTCCAATTCTTATGTTAACTTCCAATGTATTTTAATATATAAATTAAGAAAACAAACAACGCATGCTCCCTGCAAGAAAATGCAACTCCGTAACTTGAGGGAAGTTCCTACCTGTGCTGGAATCAATGCTGGCTTTATGCCTGGAGACCAAAGGAGACTTTGAGGCTGGCAAGAGGTGCACACTACCAGTCTCTCACTTGGTTATCACCAACTGCACCATAGTTCATCATATCGATAAGAATACACTCCCACTAGCTTCTTCTGTACTTTCCTAGGTATACATGTAGGCACAGATGATAGGGTAGGCTTCCCCCAGTCTCTTCAGATGGACATGTTGTAGAAATACACAAACCAGAAGATTAATTATATATGATTAAATTATATCAACTGTGTAATTAATTATTAGAATTAATAGATCCAACTTCATTGCACTTAAAATCAGAACAGCTGCATTATGAAAGCATTCTATAAACTATTTCTTTCACAGGTGCCTAGTATGTGACATTTCATGGGCTTGTTGTTCCCTATTAAGTGAAAATGTTGGATCAGGAGTAGTAACTAATGATGTTTTCCATATAACCTCAAATAAAAATTATGTATTCAGGGTATGGATATGCAGTCAATGTAGATAATAATAATAATAACAAAATAAACTGATGGACACTAAATACATGGTATACTGCAAAAAGCTCAGTAACCCAGTGCTCATTACTGTATTAATATTTAATATTCCTCACTTTATTTCCCAGCTTCTTCTCGATTTCTCCATTCTGCCTAAAGGCAGGAATCTTTGCAATCACTATTGATGGACTTGAATAATAGGTGAAAGAAAAGGCATAATTCTTTCCTCCTCTTAAACCACATAGGCTTTCTCATTATATGATGAATGAAGTGTGATTTACTATCCCTCAGTCTTCACCAATTATTGCACATTGAAGTACTTAAAGCTTCTCTGTTTATCACAAATACACACAGCCACTTACCCTAAAAGGAAGGTCTATTAATTTGAACTCCATCAGCCCTGCTTGTTCAGTACTCAGGTAATAATACTGTCCTACAAAGAAGGAATGTGAGATGACAGTTATACTTTTCTATCCTTTTTCATCTATACATTGCTGAATCAGGGCACTGAAAAGAAACAGAACCCTATTATGCTATTTTGTGTGTTCAGTCCATGGGAGAAGATGTAATACAAAACCATTATATTGAAAAAAAATTATATACTTAAAATTAACATAGACTGTGCCCAACTGATATAAAAAATGGAGCATCTTCAACTACAGTAAGAATGCTTGTGGAGACCTTTCCTTGAGAAACAGCCTAAGCAATGTGTTCTCTTCCACTTCCGGCCATCTTCATGAAGGTTTGCCTGATATTTAACCTAAATGCCTTTTTCCTCATTTCATCTTATCATTCGTAGGTATGTTCTATTTCATTATGCTAAATATTTTTTTCTTTCTTAAATGTTTGCAGGAGGGAGATTTCTTTTCCCTTGCTTCCCAGTTCTGGTCTCATCTAAATCTGGCACTGTATACATGAAACCACCTGCCCTCTAATAGTTCTACTCCCTTTTGGTACCCTTTCCAACAGCACTTCTACCATGCTAAAAGCAAGTTGGATTAAACTATTCAGTGGTATGATACCAAAGTACTTCAAATCTTATGCCAGGTGAAATAGGCTGAAGGGTCCTCTTTGAAAAGAGGGAACAGTAAAGTTAGAAAAACAGAAGAACATCCAGAAAGCATTGCTAGATGCAATAGTATTTGTTAAGTCTCTTCCTCTTAATTTTATTATTCTTATATGGCTTATTGCCAAGCCTGGAGTACAGTGCTCCACCTGCAGCCAAGCCAAAAGGAGGCCCACGATGTCCTAGCAATAGACACCTGTGTGTAGAATATACTGGAAATTTTTAAAGGCCTAAAGATTAATTTCTACATGTACCTTTTGAAAGCATCCCAGTAGGTGCAAGAATAGCACTGTGGCACCACAAAATGCATATACATTTCTAAGAAAAGATTTTAAGTATAAACCAAGTGAGTCAAACAGAGCTGTAATCAACACCAACCACCACAAAGAAGAACACATTGCTTCCTTGCTTCCTATAGCAGGTAGTCTCATTTTGACCAATCTCGGCTAATGAAAGGATGAATTTGTGGGACCTGGAAAGAAACAGTTTTCCATTGCAGCAGTATTTTTCAGAAATACCATGTACAGATGAGCCAAAGGTGACTTGTAGTTTGGCGCGCAGAAGCAAACATCAATAGCCCTGAAACAGGCACTCGCAAAGAGCCTGTTTTCAAACAAGTGATTTCACACCTAACAGATAATTTAAACATAGGAGATATACAACATGAGCTTTAAATCTGGAGCAATATTAATTTCTAGACATGAGAAGAACAAAGAAAAATATTGTCTAATTATATTGTATCTAGCCTGCATTCCTGGGGGAAAAATCTATATGATTTTTATATAAAATTACCAAAAGAACAATATGAGGAATATTTTTAATGTTTGAGCAACATGCTGTTTGAAGAAATTATTTATACAAGCCATTTATATGTAAGAATGACATACTATTAAGCAAAAAGTTACCTTCAAAATACAGATGTTAAATTCTCTTGAAGTGCAAGAACAGTATGTACATATCAGATGTTACTATGCAACCCGTTTGTAAGTCAGAAGCAAAGAATGAATGAAGAATTACATCATGTTCTAACAAATTGTGAACAATTCCTGAATGTGCAAACATAACGCATTTCAAGTCAGAAATCTGGAATGAATCAGGATGGTTGTAACCTTAGAATAGACTGCTGCTCTTTATTTCTTCACATTGTGAAGAAATTAATTAGGCATTGATAACAGCAGTCCCGAGATCTAAATAAACTCATGTTGCACCTGCTTCAATAGTAAAATGAATACTGCTACTTTTTAAAATGACAGTTTTTTTAAAAAATGTTCAATTATACACATGAAAGAATTTAAGACGTAGCTTAAGATGACCTTAACCTTCCTGATCTACTGATCTGATAAGAATGCAGCAAAAAAATCTTTAAGTAATGCACAGTTACATTAAATGAAGGTGTGAATAATTAAAAACCACAAGAGGTAAGTGGCACCCTATAGACCACTGCAAAATATTTCTAAATAGACACTTCAATGCCTGTAATAAGTAGTAATCCACAATATCTGCTGATGTATACATTTCCATGCTACCACTTACCATGAGCGATGAGTGACTTTTGGATTGGGTTATTTGTAGCTGTTGAATCCATTGTACAATCAGCTTAATTGCATTTCACTGCTTTAAGTTCAATTCACTTCCTCAAAAAGAATAGAATGTAATTTTAAGCAGCATTACTTATTCTCCTGTATGAAATGTCTTCCAGTTGTCTTAACTTTCCTTTTCTTTCTTCCTAACACACCAAAGGTCATTTGATTTGAGTGTTATTATGGATTGTGGGTATATGCTAGATTCACTGAGCTTCGAATCCTAATGCAGTATTACACTTCTAAGTTAAAGTATTATTTTATATAGCAAAATGCCAAAACTACAGATGTTGACTAGGTATATTTAAGGTGATTATAAGTCAAACTCATGTCTGAAATGAGGAAAATGCTGCCTTGACTATATTTGTTTAATTTTGGATTATATTATGATGCATTTCCTAGTTACTTCTCCCTAAAAAAGATTAAAGTTTTAAACAGAATCATAAATAAAATAACTGTGAGTCTTTCAAAATTTCCTTCTTTAGACAAAAATACTAAGGGAGAAGGAAGGAATTCTACTGGGATTTTGAATTTCAGTCATATCTACAATACTCTCTTTTATTTGCTTTTGAGCAAGACCATAATTTTCTTCTACTGTTCAGAACCCTGCCCAGCAGGATCCCCCATCCATGATTAATTTTTCTAGGCAGTGATACAGCAAAAGCAAACACGCTAGACTAAAGATTTTATCTTTGCAGGAACAGAGAAAAGAGCAGCGTGCCTGCATTTATTATTTTTTTTCCTCATCCCATCATCTTTTTATTCTATGCTTCTTAAGACATCTTGTCACTTCATTCCTTTCAGTTTCATGGGACACAACAACTGACACGTTATGGAAAACCTACATGCAAAAACTGATTTATAGCAGCAAAGGATTAAAATTTCTTGAGCTCATAGCATTTGATTTATTTTTTTTTTTTGAAAAAAAGGATCATCCTGAATTTAAAAATACATTCCATTTCTAGGGATATGGTTTTCTAGAATAAATCCCACCATTTAATGTGTATGAAGCTATATTCAAGAATGTCTAAACTTGCTCAATGTTAGTATGATCTTGTTTATAAAATACCACCTTCATTTGAATCTCTGCAACACATACGTAAAAACATTATCAAAAAATCTCCTTGACAACAAATTACTAAAAAAAAAGTAGTAGTTACTTTTGATGACGTGATAGTTAACTATAGGGTTTTAAGGAACACATAAATGTTCTCTGAATGGTCTAAGGAATAAGCAAGGCTTTACTCACTGTGGTCATAGAAGCAGAGACAAGTAATGATGTGGAAAAGCCCTTGCCCTCTGGTTACTCCAGGAAATCTACTTTCCAACTAAATGTCCCCAGAACATCAACACATGCCAAAACATCATATTCATTGCACTATTCTTATTCTGCATCTGCAAAGTCAATGTATTTAATTAAAAATATTTACACTAACAGATTCTCACTCAAATATTTGACAAAAGTTAAATAGTCATTTAAACATTCAGGTAAACCTGATCCTGTTGCCTTGGCCCCTTCAAGGCTTATGTTGCCCGCTGTGTGATGGACACTATGACAATAATTTTCCTGTGATTTCCCACAACTAAGGACACCATTTTGAATTTATCCATGGATATCACAAAAGGATTATTCTATCAAAAAAAAATATCAAACTCCATCAGACCTTCTCAAAGAAAAAAGGGATTCTTCAAAGGAGTGGCAGGAAGAAAACAAATAAATACTTTTTAAAAGCTGCTTCTTACTTCCCCCACTTCCCCCTGTTTTTTGTTTGTTTTTTTTTTTAAATCTTTAAACTCCATGGTAAGCCTGTGCTCAAAGGACACAGCAAATAGCACACCACAACCATGTTCATCTTACTGCAGTATCTGTTTATTTGTGCTATGGGCACAGGTTTATCCTTTTCATACATCATTCACTACTGTCCAGACTGATTTCACAATGTCAATTCAAAAAATACCCAGCCTTACCAGGAAGAAAAGAAAAAAGAAGGGGTGGGGCGGGGGGGGAAGTCTTTTGTTGATTTGAATATTAGCCACACTGGGCTCTGGATTTCATTTTCTCTGTCCTACTTCAGAGGCTCCATTGATAGCAACGGTCATAAGAACAGGACAGAAAAATAAATAACATTTTCTGCTGTTTTCTTGGTTTTGAAAGTTCTTTTATGTCTATGAACACAAAGAACATATCATCTCTCTGATGCACCAAGAAAGGCCCTGATTATAACGTTTCATTGCTTGAATTTCTGTTTCAATTAAGATGCTGCTTGGGTGATACTTTCAAAGGCACAGAAGCAGTTAAGTCATCCAAGTCTTACTGAAAATTAATGGGAAGAGGGAGCTTCACATTCATTTGTAGCTATGTTACAGCTTTCCCCATCTGACTTCTATTTCTGTAGCAAAGCAAGAAAAATAAGCCAGATCATAATGGCTGGATAACAAGTTACTTACTGAGAGGCCCAAGCATCTTTCACATAAAAAGGATTGTTCACCATCTTTCTCATGACTTTGGACTGTTGAAGGGAAAACAAATTTTGCTACTTCATTTACTAACCAGGTTAGGCTTAAATAAACATATAATTGGAGGTAAACCTAACTTCATTAATTAACAGGAAATGAAAATGTGCATGCAAATCACAACTGAGACTCAGTAAATTAAGAGAAGAGCATTTGATTGCGTTGACCACCCGTGTATGTTATAATTATGTAAATGGAGCACATAATTAACTCATGAAGTTGAACAAGAACTGGTTGTAAACAGTCCCACATCAGACAACAGAAGAAACAGCTTTGTTGTTTTAATCTTAAGCATCCAAAATAAAAGATCACTTGAGAGTGATTTTTTTGACACTCTACTTAAAAGATCTTGCTTTTTGGCTAGAGTGAAGAAGGCTTATTTTAGAATAATATAGAGACTAGCTAAATTTCTACAACTTTAATGATTTGATAATTAACAACACTTTTAATTCTGCCATACAAATGTATCATGTGATCATTAAAATTGATTTAAATTAGGTGAGCACTGCTCAAAGTCTACAACAGGAGTCCTAATTGCAAGCAATACTCAATATAATGAAGGTTTAATCTTCAATTAAAAAAAAAGCATCAATGATACTTTTCCTCAAAATAATAAAAAGGCACAAATGCCTCCATCTCAATAAGAATAAAAGAGGAAGAAAAGTGAAAATTCCTCACATACCTGCTTATAATTTTTGCCTCATTCATCTGAAGTCACTGCAATTGTGTGGCACAGTCTTCTAGGCAGAGTGCTTCATTCTGTGAAGAATGTTGCAGATAAAAGCAGCCCAAACAGTGTAACTATGGACTTAACTACTTGCTCCTGTGGATATTGTGCTGAAGGGAACTGTCACAGGTGTTTTGCATAGATACTGTTGGTAAACCAACATAGGAAAGAGGTCATGCCTATTCTACCCTTATCTGACCTCTTTTTTAGCAAGTGACTTTCACCAGTTCAGCCACAAACACTTATGTTTGTAATTTCAGGTCTGCTTGGGTGGTCCTCACATGCTAAAGGCAGGTTGATGTCTTTCAATTTTGCTGCAGCAGGCAAATGTCAAGCTTCAGGTCACCAGTCATCCTGCTCAGGATGATGGGCATCTGGAGAAAACTGCTGATGGATACATCAGTTCTCTCCTGACATCTGTTCTCTAACAGATACAGAAATAGGATCTGCGTGGGCCTTCTGTGCAGGAGCTGCTATCAGCCTTCAACCTGGGGTAACAGCTCTGGGGCCACCTTCATGAGCAACATTTGGTAGAGGATTATGTCCTTTCTTAAAAAAAAAGCTCCCAACTTAGTCAGCAACATATATTCACTCCTACAGATTTGCAACAGCCATGAACCAAGACTACACAGATCAGCAGGGTTGATGTTCTTACTCTGAGCAAAATTAAAAAGCCAAAACCAAATCCAAGCACATAATCTTAGGGCCTTAATTTAATAAAATATTCTCTTACTTTTGCCCCTGAAAGAAAGATGTTTTCATTTCATATTGGTTCAGCCTCCATCTAATGTCAGATGATTCGTGCTTATGTAGGTCAGAAGTCCCCTCTGGGTAGCTACAAATGCACTGCTGAGAAACTCACATGCCCCAGGTCAGAGAAGCTGAAGAGGAGTCTCAGGGTGTTGTGATGTTTGGTGTTTTCCTGTGCTATAGTTTAAGGCGCTAAGCAAGCCTAACAACCAAAAGCAAGATGATTTTGCACATCTATTTTTTTGCATCAAGTTTCAAGATAAGTTTTAAAATGCTATGGTTCTGATGCATTACCCATGGTATGCAGTATTGTAGCTATAAATACATTGCTTCATCCCGTTATCAGGAAATACTGGCCAGCAGTGTCATGAGGTCTCCAAGAGGGAAAAATTTTGAAGGAGGACAATGAGCTGGAAGAGTTGTTAACTTAGTTCCCAATGAACTGATCTTTTGGAAGAAAAACAAATCTCAGTGAGGGGCAACATTTTACAGGAGGAAAACATAGGAAAGAGAACTGCAGATACTGAGATTGTTTTCTTTTTCATATTGAAGAAGTGCTTAAAAATGAACTCATTAGAAGCCTCTGCATTGTGCATAAACTGATCAAAGTTCTCTCATATGTTGAGCTAATCTGTGAAGCAAAGGTCCAGAGTTAATCTGTCTTGCAATGGCTAGATTTCCAATGTGCTAAGACATCCATTACAGGGTAAAGCTCTGCAGAGACATCAAATTTCAAATCCCCTTGAAAACACTTAAAAGCAAAGTCTCTTTACCTTGCTGAGTGCTACACATGAGCTTTGCTAATCCCTCACAAAAGTTAAATCTTTAGAAGCCAAATTATAAATTAGTATAACACAGTAATTTATTGTCTTATTATCAAAAACTAACAGCAGAAAAAATCAATTTCAAAAGGGAATTTTTCTGTGTCAAATTCTCCGGTTTTGCAAAACTGTAATTTCCCTTGTGGGAAATTCATTATATTGTGAAAATAGTCCTGTATGCATTGGCTGCTTTTCCATGAATTATATCCAGACTTTTACATAACATACTGTCATTTTGCAGAAGCAATCATTTCTAGTAGTGAATCAAATATACACTATAACCTCTTCCCTTCCAGTTCTTTAACACTATTCATCTCAGAGCATTACTAAGTGTACTGAAGGTTGATCATTTTAGAGAATGGATGTATTACAATACAGTTACTCCTGCAGATAAAGTATCTTTGTCTCAAACCAAGGATTTTAAAAATTATATATATGTGAATGAACAATCTGAACTGACTCACAGAAATAACTGCATTGTCCATAAATATTATGGGTATAAACTTCTAAGGCCACTCTAGTTTCCTTGCTACACATTTCCCTTTATTTCAGATTTGCTTTCCTCTGCAAGAGAGGAATGTGAAGTTCACTTGGAGAAAATATATGTCCTGAGGGCATTCCATAATGAATGACTTGGCTTTCTCTCTGGAAGTGTTTGTACTATTTTGAGAAATGGATATATAGCGGGGTGGTTACCAGCAGTTCCTTTTGTTGTAATACCTGAAATGGAGCTTCTCAAGTTTCAGAGAATAATTGATTTTTTAAAATAGCTTTCCTGTAGCTATACAACTCATTTTATTCTGGTTCTTTTTCTTTTCTGCTCCCTTTTTTTCTCTTCTCAGTTGCTTAATTATCTTTTACAATAGCATACAAAATCAAATTGCACATCTGCTAGATAGGTAGCTTCCTGGTATCATTAGCATCCACAAAAGAAAAGAATGCTTTTAAAATTTTGTCATAGACACTCCAGTTATCATTTTTTTTCCCTCCTATTATCATATTATTAAAATTGTACTTTCAATAAGGGTGCTAAAACAATGTGAAATCTTACTTTTATAGTAACAGCAAAAAATCAGGCTCAGGATTTAAACTTTGTGTGTTTTAACATCCCTGTGTGATTAGGTACTTCGGATGGCTCAGTGCTATAATGTACATAATATTCCTCTGAAGCTCCCTAAAGCACAGTAGGCTTCAGAGTGACTAGATTTAACCTTCAGAGATCAAAACCATGATTTTAAGTCTTTACTTCAAATCTTCAAATCAGTGTTGATGTATGCTGTTGTAGACACTTGTGCAATGGGCTACATCCTTCAGCTTTTAGATCTCAAACATATGTACTTATATATACGTACATACAAATAAATGAAAATAATGTATTCACAGCCTATGGCATCTCCCAAACTTCTTCTCTTTCAGTAAGCAGACGCAAAAGGGAAAACAACTTTAAACAAATGCAGTCCCTGTTTTTTCATATTCTTTGAGAAGGATACAGAAGTGGTTATATAGGCCTGCCCATCTCCACCTCACCTCTGCTGATTCTTCCCTCTCCCCATCAGGCCCTTCATCAAAGGTTTTTATCAGCATCTCCTGCTGGGAAACTACCATTTACTTTTAGTAAAAGAAAACAGCTGCAACATTAAAGTGGAGAGTCTACACATGACTGCTGCCTGATCTTCCTCTGTTTCACCTTGCTGGGCTTTATAATTTCAAAACAGGGAAATTAGGATACAGAGACCATTTGAGACTTATCAAAAATGTGCCTTGCACTTGCTTGACTCTTTGCCAGGAGAAGTGTTGAAGATGGAGAATGGAGGAAATGAGTTTGGTTTGGAAACTGTCTATGGGCAATATAGGCAACAGCTGAACTGTAGTAGCATGTAAAATATATGGTTTAACTATTGAATCTAAATTTTGGGGAAAGATGACTAACCTTGAAAAACCCATTTACTCTGACTTTGTGAAAGGGAAAACAATTTGCCAACCTAGACAGCAAAAACATTAAAAACAACTTAAGGCTTGACCTATTACTTTTTTGTCATATATTGCGTTAGTTTTCTCCACCCATCTCATTCATCATCTGCTGGTCAAAAATTAAGAAGAAAACTTTTGTGAGTTCACAAGAAGTCAGTGTTGTGTAGACATCAGGTTTATCAAGAAGCAATGCATCATTCAAAAGGAAATGTTTAATAGTGGACTACAGTACTAGACACTGCCTTCTAATAAAGCAATTAATTATCACAAAATTGTTTTGAAGATGGGCCTGTTTGTATGTTTCAAAATTTTATACCTTCTTAGATATGTTATTCAGAAGAACAGTAATATGCCACAAACGTTTAAGGTTTTTTGTGCTTTAATTCTACAATCATTTGGGAAGGCATCATAAAGACAATAAAAAGGATGGAACAACTTCTGCATCAAGAACATCAAGGTAAACTGGTATTCTTTAGCATTAGGTGACCAGATCTATGAAATCATATATTGACAATATGAATAAAGGTACAGTTGTTCACCATTTCCTTCAAGAAACAAACTAGGAACATCAAATGAAGTGAGGCTGAAAAAAACCCACACCCAAATGTAAAAGGAGATGTTGTCTACACACCAAACAGTTAAGCTGCAAAAGTCTTTGTCACCAAATGCTGTACATCTTGTAAGTTTAAATGGGTTCAATAGACAACTTGGAAAGTTCAAAGAAAACATATGTGAGGGATGATTATATTCCAAAACAGAGGAATCAACTTTTGTTCATGGATGTGCCTTGGCTACAAATCTTTAGAGACTTGAAGAACAGTGTTGGACAGCAACCTCATGTTCTTGTACTCTTCCCTGCACAGCTCCTTCCAGGTGGACATGGCAACAGGGTTCTGGACTGGATGCTTTCCTTTGCAGTATAGCAATTCTCATGGTCTAAATATTAATTAACAATATTGATGACTGAGGTGTTTTATTAAGGTCAGTGAAATCTAAGTAATAATCACTTTTACAGGCTCTTACTCCTCAAAAACCTGCTGATTTAATTGATCCACTCAGACATTAACAAATATGGAAAGATCACAGACATGGGGAAACACATTGAGTAGGACAGCTGTTTAAAAGTATCATACAGCATGCCGCCTAAGTATGTCACTGGAGTCACGATGTATCAATGTTCTTCCATACACTACACAAAAATACTAACATAAAACCAAAAAGAGCCATTCTAAAGTAAACCGAGAAATTAAGTAATGTGCATATACAGATATTTATTCTCAGTAGTCTACACACATTAATGTACGTACATAAAAATCTCTCCAGTGTTTGGCCTTTAAAACAAAACACCGAAGAACTACCCTTTGTGAGCCAAATCTCAAACATGAGGAAACAGATTTAAATAGAGTCATGCCACAAACCCTTCAAATGAAAACAAAGTTGACTTAAATCTCCCCACACTACTAGAGGCAGATTTTTGGTAATATTTCTGACATCAGTT